GTCCCAGCTACTTGGGAGGCTGAGGCAAGAGAATTGCTCGAGCCCAACATTTAGAGGTTGTCAGCAACAGAAGGTATATGCACTTCCTTCAAGCTGAGAAGGCTACTTGGGAGGCTGAGGCAAGAGAATTGCTTGAGCCCAACATTTATAGGTTGCTGTGAACGACGATGCAGCAGCACTCTACTGAGGGGCGACAAAGACTATCTCAAAAAAACAAAAAAGAAAGAAAATTAGATAGGCTTTTGTCCAGCTTACACTCTTCCAAATCAGTTGTCAGCAACAGAAAGTATATGCACTTCCTCCATGCTGGAAGCTTCAGAGAAGCAGGTCTCCTCTGTAGTTGCCATAGAGTGGATGAGCCTATCTTATTCTGAGGTGCAGAATCAGTAGTCATCTGCTTACAGATGAAAGCTCTATCCTCCACTTTTATTAGTATGAAAGTAGTATTTGGCTTCTCCATCTGGTAACTCTTTTGCTTCATAGGTTAGTTCAGAACTTGAATGGAGAAGATGGTTGCTATTTATTTCACTTTCTCAAAGACTCACTATTCTCAGTAGTTTTAACTCATTTTAGGATAAGAAAGGACCAATGCCAACTAAATGTGACTGACAAATGTGACATAATGTTTATTGAATGGCATCCTTTTTTATATATATTTTGTGATACAGAAAACTAATTAAGTGGCTGAATTTGGTCAGGAATCCAGGTCTATTAAATATTAATCTAGCAAATAGTCCTTTTTTTGGAACTATATACTACTAATTTGACCAAAGAAAAAAGTTCTTTCCTGTAAGAACTGTTCAGGTAAGTTTAGTAGCACACGAAAGTTATAATTTAGTATTGATTTTAAAGCTGGAAGCGTTTGTCTTTTGGCTTCTTCATTTTTGAAATGGCAAGTTACCTTTATAGGTTGGGACAGTGTCCAACTTTCCTTTTTTAATTTGTTGTCTTTCCAGAGGCTGGACTATTGCCACAGGCTGTACTTTGTAGGAATAAAAATCTTGTTTATAGGTGGTATCAAGATCAATCTTCCCCTGCTTTGGTTTATATTCTTCTGGCATGTGGCGAGGCTGTTTGACTATTTCATAAGGACGATAATCCGACCTGAAATATATAAATTTAAAACATAGCCTTACAGGTTCTTTTAGTTCTAATTATTTCAGTGAGTTATTGAAAATTCAAAGGCTTTTTTTCACGGGAAAAGTCTGAGAAGATATTAAGATGGTAATAGTTGATAAAGTACTTGAAAAAAGTTATTGAATTCCTTTATAAGGTCCTATCCAGTAACTAAATATCTCTAGGAAAGTATGTCAAAAATTCTAGTTTTCAAACAGCATTTTGAGAAATGCTTAGTTAACAGGCTCATAAGTTAAATAAATACACAAGTAACTGAATTTTAATTAACCTGTGAGGAAATCTCAGGTAAACGATTTAATGAACCTGTATACCACCCTGGGTACACTTTGTCAAAATCCTTATTCTTTATAAAGATGCTAGCACACTACTGGGCATGCTTTCTTCATCCTAAAGTCCTGCTCTTTCTGCTCATTGTTACACAGTTAGTAACTCTGGCCATTAGAGGTAAATCACATTCATAGTACAGACTAGTACAGTCATAAGTCTTACTCATCTTGGGATGTTCCACCAGCCCTTGACATGGAAGGAGGCCAGAGGGCAGTTTTATAACATTATGCGACAAAGGATGTGTTGAAGACACTGAGGTCGTCTGGTGGATCAGCCTGAGACTGATCAAAATGCTTAGGTTCAAATCCTTGCTCTGTCACTGGCTATATTAAACTGTCTATAACTCAGTTGCCTTATATATAAAATGGGACAATATCTGCTTCACAGAGTTGTTTTAGGGATACATACATATGTTTAGAAAAAAGAATGCTTGGTACATATTACTATGTTAAAGCTACTATCCTATTATTACTCCAAGTCTACACAGATTGCTTTTATCTTGTGGACTCTGTTGGCATGTCACTCACTCACTTTATGCTTAAAGTATCATGTTCTACCATTATTTTCTCATCCCCTTCAACCTACCTTTTTAATCAACTTCTGTCTAGTTTTCAGCACTGACACTTTCCTAATACAGCTCTAAAGTTCACAGGGACTGCCATGTGATCAAATCCCTCAGATATTTTTAGTCCTCTCCTGACTTGACCTCTCCAGCAGTAACTGACATTACAGTCCACTCTATTTCTAGGAAATTCTCTTTCCTGCCTTCCTATTTCTTCTGTCTCCTATGCAACTTCCTCCACCTGTACTTGGAAATCAATGTTGGAGTTCCTCCAGACTTGAACCTACACACGCTCCTCTCCTCATCCATTGTTCACCCCTGAGAACAACTCCTATACTCCCAGAGCTTCAATTACTCCCTATACAGAAGTGACTCTCAAATTTAAATCTCAGCTTAGACATTTTCTCTGGGTTCCACACCAGTATCTACAATACTTTCTTGGATATTTGTTGGTACCTCAAAACCCAGTATGCTCAGTTGATAATAGTATCAACGATTTTCCCCCCAAAATCTGGTCCTTTTTGCTTGTTCCCCATTCTAGTGAATGGCATCACATAGTCAGAAACCCAGGACTCACATTTTATACCTCATCTCTCTCCCATATCTAGCCTATCATTGACTCTGGCAATTTTGCCGCCTAAATCTCTCTTAAATCCAAACACTTTTCTCCATCTCTGTCAGCACCATAATTTTCAAAGCTTTCGTAACAGTTGAGTCGCTTCAACAGCTTCCTGAACTCTCTGACCTGCCTCCACTCTGGTACTCTTTTCTCCACAGTGTGACAATTGTAATCAATTCACATGTAAATCAGATCAGGTCATTTGTGCTCTCATATCCCCCTTGCCTCTACCTTATCCCCTTTATACTCCTTGACCCCCAAACCCAAAACTACCCTCAAAAAAAAAAAAAAAGAAAAGAAAGAAAAAAATAGAAGCAAACCTTTGAATGGCTTCTTACTGCTCTAAGGATAGAGGTAACAGAATATGGCCTAAAGGCTGTCTGGCCTCCTTCATCAGCTTCAACTCTCACTGTGCTTCCTTTCTTTCTCTACTGTAGCTGGCAGACCTTGAGAATTTCCCACTTCCCACCTCCCTTCCTGATACATACTACTCTCTCTGCCTGGAATGTACTTCCTTCCCCTCTTGATCCAGTTAATTGCTTAACCTCCTTCAAGGTTTAGCTCATTTTCTCTGATAAAATTCCGGTTATCAAGGTACCCTGAACCTGTCCTTCATAAATTGGGTGATGTTTTTGACTGCCACCTCCACTAGACTGTTTCCTCACCAGCATAGTGATACAGTGCTTCATGCTTAGTAAGGGCTTAATAATGTCTTTATTTAAAGAATGTATAATAGTAGAAATCACATACCTCTGCTTCCCAAGACATCTGAATTGTCCTTTGCTCTTCCCAAATACCAGCTAGAGGGGAACAGGCTAAAAGACCATTAGGGGGTGAGAGAATCAGGGAGAAAAAGGCAGAGAGAAAGCTTAGAAGTCTCTATTTCTCTCATTAGATAGAATACCTAATAGGTCAGTATTAGAAAGTACACCTCTAAATCCAGAGCAACTTCCTATGAAGAAGTAGTAGAGGGTGAATACATTCTTTATTCATCTGATATATCTTGAAACATTTGGTATGTCCAGAATCCTATTCCTCAGAGCAGACTTCCTGCCAACTCTGGTAGTCACCTAATTGTGCTACAACTGTACTGCTATTAAAAGATCCAAAGTTTGTACAGATTCACACATCTCTTTACACAGAAAAGTACAGAATGATACCTTATTCTTACATACAGATAAATCCACTTTTATTACCTAGTCAACATGTCAAGATGAGGAAATCAAGTTAAGAATTCCAAGGACATGGCTTTTAGAAATATAGTGTATATATTAATATTTAAGTAAAATAATAAATAAATCCACCTAAATGGCAAAAAGATACAAAGAGTTCCAAAAAGCTAAGTCCAAATGAAAAGTTTAGGCTTAAGGGAAATTTGCCTATCACACACTGAACATACATTGGGTGTCACTGTGTGGTACGAGGCACTGTACATTATATAAATACAAGACTTATGTAAATGGAATGCTGAGATAACAACAGACGTGCTTCCTGCTTTCAAGTGCCACTGAAACTTATCTAATGATAACTTATAGAACAATGCTTTGAGAGCTTATGAAGAATTTTAGTTAAAATTGAAAATGGGTCAGAGAAGGATTCTCCAAGTGAAAATTTAATTGAGATCTACTGATTGAATAGGTATTAACTAGGGGAAGAAAGAATATAGCATTTCTTTCTTCCATGAAAGCAGGAAGCATGTCTGTTGTTATCTCAGCATTCTATTTTCAGAAGCCTAGTATTAATAACAATGCCTAGTAGCACACAATAGGCACCCAGTGTTTGTTCCAGACTAGGAAAATAGTACTTTGGAAAGCTCTAAGTAAAGGAAAACATGTCATTTTTCAAGATAATAAAAAATGGCCTATGGGATGGGAGTATAAGACAGTGAAAAAAGCATTAAAGTAAAAATAAAATAGAGAAACAAGTAGGGAGCAAACTATACTCTGGTAAAAAGTCTGCTCTATGCTACATATAATGAGAACATTCAGGATTATTTTAAGCAGAAAGGTGATAGGATTAGATCTGCATTATAAAAAATCATTGTGGCAGGTTAAAGTATTAAAAACAGATCAGCTTAGAGAAACTAGAGTAGACAAGACACAAATACAACAATTAGAAAGCTACTGCATTCCTTGAGGTAATAGCAATACTGGAAAATTATTTTCGGAGGTTAAAAATAAAATCAATAGAACTTTCTATTTCCTTTCTTTCTTCTCTTTGTGAACCTAATTCTCACCTTTTTGTTCTTCTTCAGTTGTGACTTAGTTTCTTGCTTATTAGATTGGTTCAACTTAAATCAACTAAATAGTTCAATTTAAATAGTTAGAAAATAGTTAAGTGTTTACTAGTTAAGACCAGAATAGTTGGGAAGAAAATAAGTAAAGTAAATATTTAATAGTAGCTAAATATTTACTTAAATGTAGTTATTGCTTCCATTTTACCACGGGATGCTTGAAATTCTTGCTTGGGTTTAAGACTTTGAGGTGGAAGAACATTGGCATACATAGGATATTTTTCCAAATATTCAGTTGTGGGGCAAAACACACCAGAGTTTTCATAAATCTTTGCGGTTCCATGTGGACAATGATGGTGCCTGTGCAAACAAATAAACTGAAAGATTATTTTATCTTAAAAAAACACTGTATGTGGTAATTTCATTCCAATAAGAGACCTTCAATAAACTCTAAATTTACTAAGAAACAAAAACTCTACAAGGATATCTATAAAAATAAAAATAATGAAAAAATTATGATATAGCCTTATATGGTGGAAACTCTGATTTTGTTCTCATAATTTGTGTTTTGTTATACTATAGAAGCTGAAAAGTTAACAAGGGAATTTCTGATACCCTTGCAGACAGGTTCTACACACAATTTAGGCTTTATATACTAGATTTATTCACATAGGACTTTGATTCATAATGGAGGTGCCTAAGGAGAGAGGCCAGGCAACATTCATTTGCTTGCTTACACTGTGGTAGAGGCACAGAGAGACTGGAGCCAGTAGTTAGATGGCATTCTGAATTGCAAGGTGGTTTCCTGACTTGACAGATTTCTTCTGAAGTTGGCATAAATAAGGAGTTCTGGATGGAGTCAACAGTTCTGTTGCAGGTAGTGTCAGTCCAGTTCCGTGGTGAGATTTCTGGGAATTTTCCTGGAAGCTTATTTTGAAAATCATTTCTTCAGTTCTTCCAAGTGAATTATTTATACTCCTTAATAAATTTTTTTTGCCTAACTAACCATAGTAGGTTGTGTTGTCCATAATAAGAGCACTGAACAATGTATCATATAAGCTAATTGTATGTAGTTGGAGAATAAGGTTGGCTTTTGAAAGATAATGAGATTGTAAACAGTAATAGATTATAGAATAGTAGCACAAAATACTGTTATTCTTTCTTTTTTTTTTTTTTTTTTGGCTGGGGCTGGGTTTGAACCCGCTACCTCCAGCATATGGGGCCAGGTGCCCTACCCTTTTGAGCCACAGGTACTGCCTAACTCTGTTATTCTTAATTAAAAAAAAAAAAACCCAAAAAAACCTAAGCAAATGTAAAACAAGTCTTAAAGAACATCTCTTATCTATGGGGGGAAGTATCATGAAGGATTTTTATTATATTATAGATTTTTTTTGCTTAGGTTGTTATACCATGCCTTATGTATATTTATTGCATAATTACAGAAAAAAGAAGAGCCTTAAAGAACTAACAAAAACTGAAATAAGGAAACAAAAAAGTTAAGTCAGACCATTCTAAAATATAAGGTTTCTGTAGTCTGTAGACGCCTGGCTATTTTTGTTTGTTTGTAGTTGTCATTGTTGTTTGGCAGGCCCAGGCTGGATACCAACCTGCCAGCTCCAGTGTATGTGGCTGGTACCCTAGCCGCTGAGCTATATAGGTGCTGAACCAAAATAAGGGGTTTTTGCCTGGAAGTTGCCACATAAAGACTTACAGTATAGGAAAGAATGAAGAGGTGGTGCCATAAGTTATCTAAGAAACTTCAATTGTCAGTCAGAGTCAGTAGTATCTGCTGACAATGGAGACTGTGGAAAATTGTTGAACTGATAGTGTCACACAGGTTCGTAGACTCTTGGAAGAATTAGAGGTGGTGTACACAGGCCCATGCATAGAAAGAAGTTCATCAGAATATAGCTGCACTCAGTTACAAGAATCAAGTCAAAATTTTGGGATTTGTCATTTTAGTTTTATTTCTATCAAAGCAATACATTCACAATGTAAAAAATCTAACAGTGCTGAGGAGTTACAATGGTTAAAAAAAAGGCTCTTGTTCCAGCATTTCCAATCCCCAGAGCAGCTTTTAAAAACTCATTTCTGCTTTTTAGTTTTCTGGAAACTTCATCTGTAACACTTGTTTATAAACTTTTGAACATCTTGATTTATCAGTTTATCTTCCTAACTTCCAAGTCTTAACATAAAAGATGAAGATTTAATTATACCACTCCCCACTGTTATATGGTCATTCATTCATTCAGCAAGTACTTAATAAGCAATAACTAGGGCATCAGGGATATAGCATTAAGAGAGAAAATTCAGAAAGTTCCCTGCTCTCATTGAGCTTACATCCTGGGGGAGGGCAAAGAGTAGCCAATAACAAACCAGTCAGAGAAATACGTAGTATGTAAGGGCAATGGAAAAATGAAGCAGGGAAGTAGGACAGAGAATATGGGACGGGACAGGACAGGAAGGTTGCAATTTTTAATAGTGTGATGTTGGAGCAAACATCTGAATGAAAAGGATTTTTCATTTGATTACATGTGTCTTAATTAAAACATTTAAACCCCCCCTTCTTATTTCAGGTTAATGTGAGGGTACAAACAACCAAATCACAGTATTTGAATTTGTTAGGTAGAGTCCCTCTTGTACCCAAAAGATGTGCCATACACTCTTACATTGTGCCCATTCAGTGGAAGCACCCCAAACTTCCCTCTCCTCTCCTTTGGGCCCCCTCCCCCTGACTTGAATTGAAATGAGTTTTTCTCCTATGTGGGTGCGGTCATCTACTGGGTTTATATTGAGTACATGAGATATATGCTTTTTCATTCTTGTGATACTCCTCCCTTGTTATAATTCCACAAACTTTAAACATTTCTGGATACCTTACTTTGCAAGGTGAGGCTGTTAGCGGCTAAACACTTTTCTTTGATTTTCCTCCTTTGTAAAATGATGGAGAAAATTATTAGTTTCTAAATATTTTTCTCTAATTTTTCTCCTTCCTTTCACATCCCTTTTTTTGCCAGTTATCTTTTTATATTTATTACCTATTACTTGTTTAGATTTTGTCTTTTAGCACAATGAAATAGCCATGCTTTATATATAGGCTCTTTTTAAAAGTCTTAAACCAGTTTAAAAACCCATGTAATTATGTTTACATTACAATGACTATGATCACACAGTTTAATGCTGGGCCATTGAACATAGAGGGACTTTCTTTTCCTTCCAATGGTTCAACATCATGACTCTAAGGGCATTCAAAGTAAAAGTTCCTAGCCTCAAAATTAAGTAAATTATCTTTTCATGCTATCAATTATTAAATACTTTAAAAATCATCCTGAATTGTACTTCGCTTCATTTTGAATCATAATTTTATTGTACAGTTTTTCATTTCTCTAAATTTCTAGTATTTTAATCTCTCTCACATTCTTTGTATTTTACAAACATTCAAGACATTCAAACTTTCTAGTATAGCATCTAATTTATTGACTTTTCTGCTTTCATGGTAGGTTTCTATAGTTGGGAGTCTTAGCTTTCCCTGGACAACTAATTTAGTTAAAAATGCATCTTCTTCTCTCTTTAGGGGCAGGTGTCAGCTGCCTGTGGTTTATTTGGCAGAGACAATTGTAGGAATAAGAGATGAAAAAGCCAAACAATATAGGTGCTTTCAATTTAGACTCTGAATTAATCTTTCTCAAAACACCCTACCCATTTACCCTCTACTTAACCTGTGAACATAGGTGTCTCTCAGGCGCTACTTGGCAGACAGGCTCCCATGTATACTTCAGAACATTTACTTCAGTGTATCTCTGTGTTCTTATTTCCCAAAAATTGTTGACCTCTCATCTGTTAGTGAGTCTTCCTCCCATTCTCTTCAATACTATGAGTTTATTTCTACCTGTGTTTTTAAATTTTATTTCAGGAGATCCTATGAAGGGAATGAAGGCATATGTTCTTGTTATTTGCCACCATGGATATTAGGCACAAGTCAAATGACTTTCTATCCTTTTCAACTCCATTCTTTCTCTCACCTTCCCCAGGAGTTTCAGATTGCAGTGACCTATGATAATGCTACTGCATTCTAGCACAGGCAAGAGAGCAAGACCCTGTCTCAAAAACAATGTGTATTCAATATTAAGTAGAAACTAGAAGATCAACTACTACAGGCCCGTATGAGAGAAGGGGAGAAGTGGAATGGGGGATAGGGGTTTTGGTAAGTATATGGCATACTTCCTGGGTGAAAAATCAACTACAACTGGCACTTTACAAACCTAGATAATGTAACTTAATCTTGCATACCCTCATATTAATCTGAAATTTTAAAAAGAGGGAAAAAGGGATTTTTTTTTTGGCTTGGTTTTTCTGGCAGATTGCATTGGCAGCATGTATTCTTGCAGTGTGTATGCTGCCTTTTTGAATGTTCTTTTTAATCTTGGCCTTTTCAGTCTTTTTTTTCGTTATCACATTTCTTGGCATCCCTACTAAGTTCTTTTGCAGCAAACTTCAAGTTAACTAAGTGTCCATATTCGCCAGGGTCCCACAGCTTTTGTCTGGAGGCTGTGGCCTTCTGTACCTTTTAAACTACATCTAATTACAAACTGATTATTATGAGACTGGTAAAGTAACTGCTTTCCATCAAGATGTGGCTGTTTTTCCTTTGAAGGGACTGACATATTCATATTTATTTCGCAAATAATAATCTACTCTCTGGGTCAACAGTGAAGCTCAGAAAGTAAAAGACTGTTTCCAGGAGGTGGAAAGTCGTTAAGCAGGATTCACAGACCAATTCTGGGTTTCAGGATGAGGACTGTTGCACTACTTTTTCAGTATGATCCCCAAAAAGTGCTGCCTGGATGGGAACAGAAACCTGCTCAGCTAGGCGGCTGAAAAGCTGGGGATGGTACCAAGTGTTAATAGGGGTTGCAAACGCGGGACTTCGCGCACCACTATTTAATTTTTTTTTCTTTTGGTATAATTTCCATTCTTCCGGTCGGATCAGACCCCACCACTTACCAGTCTTCCAGAGTTGGCTGATCCACAAGGATTACCTACCCGGCGCGGGTGGCATTGTAGTTTGTTTGCATCCTTGGCTAGAGCCCCTCAGGGACTACAAAGATACGTTTTACGCCTCGCGGTGGCCGGCGGGTGCGAAGCTAGCATTAGTGGGTCCAGATAGAGGGGACCGGGCTGCGCCCTCGGCCTTGGGTCTCCGGTGGGCGGCCACTCTCAGGGTCCCCGAGGGCGGGCTGCGTCCACTGAGGTCCTAGCTCGGCCCCCACGCCCCGGCCCGCCGCTACCGCAGCCGTTTCTTACCCGCACGTACAAATTTGACACAAACACCAGCTCCGCATGTTCTCGGCTCGCAAGGCGCCTGCTGCCGCGCCTCAGCGAAAGCTGCTTCTCCACCTACTCGGCG